GGACCTACACGATATTATAGGCAGGTGGTTTTGATGTTGAGGCCTATCAGTGTATTTATAGTTCAAAATATTAATAATTGTCCTCTTGTTTCGCCGTCTTGTTTTTGTAATCTTTGTTTCTCATTTTATTATATGTCGAAGCATCAAATTTGATTGAGAGGTTTTCTTTCTGTAATCTGGGCTAATGTATCAAGAAACACTCACTTAAGGAATGGAATGACAGTAACACAGTAGTAGTTATGAACTATGAAAGATGTTTTTCCACAACTGGTGACACAACTATGAAAGATGTTCTGGAGAAATGACATGGGCTACTAAAAGAAACAAGAGCATTCTGCACTATTTCCATTGTATATTTCTTAAAGCATATATCTGTCATTGATATCTGCGGGATTTGGGGAGATAATCAAAGGACTGAAAAAAAGGTGTTTCACTAAATATTTTGGCAATGAACATCATCTGCTTATCGAATGCTGAGACGGAGAGAGGGTACAAAAAAGAAAATGGGGATGGGGTAAAGGTACAAAACAGAACACAATGGTGTACATACAGCATATAGTAGTAAAGATAAAGTCACAATATGACAGACATTGCAAACATCACAAATTACTTCTGATTACAAGGATTAGTGAGTTGAGCCAATTGTCCAGTTATGCACAATAGTTAGAGTACCGTTCAATGACTAATTCTGCATAGCAGACATTATCAGGAGCTAAACCTCTTCACCCGCAGCCCTCAAGCCTCTATGTATCCACAGTCTCCAAATCTCCATTTTTTTACTTTAGGGGAATGTAAATTTACATAATTAAGCTGTATTATTTACTTTATTCCTGCTAAGCTAGGTATAACTGAAGACTTACAGTGTGAGGTAAGGCTTATAGCTGCCATCAAAATATGGATAGCCAAAGCCTTAGTTGGATGAAAAGTGGTGTCTGGAAAATGAAGGCACAAAAATATATTGGGGTCAAAACTAATGCTCTTGTCACAGTATTCCAGTAATAATTTATGTACATTTTGACAAAATTCTGTGCGATTTGGGCATATGTTGCAAGAATCTACCGCCCACCTAGCTCCCCTGTGCATTCCCTATCTGACATAGCCCATCTCCTTAGTGAAACTATAGCTCAAAACCCAAAAAGTGAACTGTTGGTCTTTGGAGATTTTAATATTGATTGGAAGAATCCTAAAAATAATAGTTCTTGCTCACTGTTTACAACTAACGCAATTAATTTCTTTCCCAACTTGCATAAACATTAAAAGCCATAACCATACCCTGCTCGATTGGATTCTCTCCACTTCTCCTGATAGAATCCAGGAGGCCGGTGTTCTCCATAACAGTTTCAGTGATCACTGCTTAGTGTACTGCGTGTGCAAAATAAAGGCTGCTAAATCCTCTTTCAAGGTTAAAATCACCAGGTCTTTCAAAAAAATGTAATCTTGAATCCTTTTTAAATGATCTCAAGAACATACCATGGCACAGATTAAACATTATCCCAGATCTAGACTGTGCAGTTGAAGGGGCACATATGAACTGGATCACAGCTGACCTCATCCAAATGTACCAGTTTCGGGATTCATTGTGGTCAAAGTTCAAGTGTACTGGCTCTATGAACAATCACTGTGCATATAGACAATGGCGAAATAATTTATGTGAAAATCTGAACAATAACCTATCAAACCCTAGAAACTTTTGGAAAGTCATAAATAAATTACAAACTCCCCCAATCCACTCCCCCCCCCCACCCCCACTGTCAAAGTGGATAACCAAATCCTGCAACTTCCCTTAGATGTAGCAAATGCCTTTAACAATTATTTTGTCGGATGATCCACTACCCTAATTGCCAAGCTACTAAATGACACGCATCCTGAAATTACAAATGTGGATCAGGCACCACTAAATTTGCAAAGACTCAATATAGACAAGTTCATTTTTAGACCTGTACCTATAAGTGTCATTAAAAAACACCTTGAAAGTCTAAAAATGAAAAAACAGTCTGGACCTGATCAAATCCCAGCAATGCTGTTGAAGCTCAGTGCCCCGGCAATTGCTAAACCTGTCGCAACCCTAATTAATGAATCCTTGGTGTCTGGATACATACCCAAACTTTGAAAGACTGCATAAGTAGTGCCTATCCATAAAAGTGGTGACACTACTTTGGTATCTAACTGTAACTATAACCCAATATCATTGCTCCCAGTATTGTCAAAAATTATAGAAAAAGTGAAAGAAAGTGAAAGAAAAGATTGTAAAGCAAATGTTGATGCCAATCATTGATTATGGGGATTTATTAGATGCACCTGCACCGCAATCCCACATTAATAAACGCAATACATTGTATAACTCGTTCTGCCGATTTGCGCTACAATGTAATTACCGGACCCACCATTGTGACATGCTAAAAGAATTAAACTGGCTGTCGCTGAAATCCAGACGCACCCTTCATCTTTCCAACCTTGTGTTTAAGAGCTTTTCTGGGAAGCTCCCGCTCAATACAAAAAGAAAGCGGAAGATCCTCCTTTTCCTACAGAGCGCCGCAATTATGGAACGACCTCCCGCACACTTTAAAATCTTCCCCAAGCCTAAAGTCCTTTAAGTGATTCCTCTCTACATACCTCAAAACAGAATGCACATGTTATGGTTGATTATATATTTCCTACCTGTTCTATGTTAAATATTGTATATATTGTGTATTAATATTGTGTTTGTATTTTATCGTACCCTGATGTATTAATGCAATTTTTTGTGGACCCAGGACTTACTTGAAAACAAGAGAAATCTCAATGTATCTTTCCTGGTAAAATATTTTATAAATAAAATAATATGTGCATATAAGGGTCTAACTGGTGTCCACACCTCCAACAGAGCAGGGATGCATTGAGATATGCTTTGTGTAATCTATGTGCCTCCACTAGAGTGTAACACCAGGATTCCCCCTTAAGGCAATTAAGCAAGCTATGCAAGCCCTCCATTGGAAGTTCAAATGAACGTTTCTTCTCCCATTTAGCCATTAAACCAAACTTTGTGTGATAAGGCAACTCTGCCTTATTATCACATGGCACAGTGATCATGATCTGGGCTTAGGAGGAGATTGCCAACACCAAGCCAGCAGTCTTCCCCTTGGGGACTGTTTTGTATCATCTGGTGTCCACTTGTATAAAAGTATTTAGGCAAGATACGTTTTAGTTGTACATAGAGGAAAATACAATTTGGAGGTAAGGGAAATATTTCATGCAGTATGGGGAATGGAACAATTTGCTGACTATCTACTACTTGTGAGATATGTGTCATGCTTCTCTCCTGCCAAGCCCCAAATGGGAAGGATTCAATGACCGCTATTAGTGCCAATAGAAGGGCACATAGAAGAAACTTCCCAGGAACCACCTATTTGGACCAAAGTATCCAACAT